TCTATGACTTTTATATTTATATCTAAACCTATTGCATGTGATATTATGCACCATCTTCTAAGTTGTCTTTTATATACAGCCTAACACATTTAATAAATATTAATTATTCAAAGTAATTTTAAACAGTACATTCTTGCTCTAAATTATGTTCCTTCTAAAGTTCTCAAAATATGATCTAATAATTTGGTACATCCCTTCCCCACTCACCCCCACTAACCTTCAGATACCAGTATCAGAATAAGTAATTACAGATCAATTCTGTAATAGACACCAGAATGTGTCTGACTAGGAAGACCAGAGAAGAAACAAGGTGGGTTTTAGCCTACTTGAAGTTTAGTACATGCTAATAATTAGAATAATCATCTTTGTGGCAATAAACTACAGCCATTTTATCAGACTATTTTATACTTCAGCTTATGCTATACACCTGAAATGTCCTTTTGTGACACACAAATTGTAAAAAATCACATGACCTATCATTTAGACCCAAAGGCTATTTCACTGAAGATTCACTAGTTTCATTCTTAGAAAGGATCATCAAAAGTAGGTGAAAGGTGGGGCCTCCATGGTGGCACAAGGGGTTAAGGTTCTAGGAAGCTATCTGCAGCCACTGCAGCACGAGTTCGATTCCTGGTCAGCGAGCTACACACATGGTGCAGCAGACCTCTCCTATCTTGCCCGCTGCTCCCCTCAGCAGTGTATTTCAGTAGATCTGCCTGTTCTGCTCCCCATTCTGCCTCTGGTGGATCTCACCCCCCCCATTCCTCTGGCCTGTACCCCAGTTCTTGTATGCATAAATAAATAAATCTTTAAAAAAAAAAAAAAAAGTAAGAGCCTCCCTGGTAGCGCAGCAGGTTGAGCGCAACGCTGCAGAGGCTGTCCGCAGCCTCTGCAGCACAGGCTCGATTCCCAGCTGGCCAGGGAGATTCCCACATGGCACAGTAGATCTCTTCTGTCTCGCACCCACTGCTCCCCTCAGCAGTATATTTTGGTCCTTCTGCCTGTTCTGCATCCTGCTCCGTCTCTGGTGAATTCTCTCACTCTCCCACGCCTCTGGCCTTTACCCCATTGCTTGCATAATTAGAAAAATCTTTGGGAAGAAAAAAAAGTAGGTGAAAGGTATTATAAGTAAATTACATCTCAAGAAAAAACTGTTTAATTAATGTAGGTAAAGTAAAGGATGCCCCAGAGAAGGGCACTCCTCATGTTCGCAGCCTGCGTAACTTTACATTCCCACCATCAAAACAGGGATTGGGATTGAAGGGTGAGGAATTCTTCATCCATTAATCTAACAAATGTTTACCAAACAACTACGATACTATGTGTTAGGTGCCAGGAAATGGATATACCAACATTCTGCTCACAATAAAGTTTTTAGTCCAATGGGAAAACATACTAACAGTACTACTATACCCTTTTCCTACTATACCCTTTTCCTTTTTACTACTATTACTACAACTGCTTAAGATACTACAATGCCTTTAAAAAAAAAAGAACTCAAGATAAACTATATTAAAATTAGTAATGCCACACAGCTGTTTCATTTATTCATTTTCTACTTACATGCCTAGTCGTATTCTGGTTCAAGTGCTGAAGTACCAGTCAGTCCACAGATCTATTCACCTCATATTCATGTCTTATTCAGTTCTTTTTGGTTCCTTGTCAAAACTTTCCTCAGGCATTCACTTAAGAAATATGAGGATCTACTATACATGCCACATGCTACCCTGGCTGCTACAATGCCATGGTGACAAGATCAATAGTCACTGCTTTTCAGTGGTGTTTACATTTTTGTGGGGAAAACAACCATCAAATAAGCTTTTATAAGAGTGAAGAATATTTTCAAAGACAGCATACTCAGACACCACATCCCAGCTGACTGTTCCCTGATTCATGAGAGTCATGCTTCATACATCTTTCGGATTCTCAAGGGTAGGCCTAGATGCTGGACACATGTATGTGAGTAAGACAATGCTCAACCTCATGAAATTTCTTTTGGCTTACAAAAATTTACTTTTCATTGTTCTGGAGTCAACCTCACGAAATTCTTAAGTCTAATGGGGAAAAATGCTGTAATAAAGAAAGTGATGTCTAAAATATTCATCTTTACTTATAAAGTCATAGGAAAGTGTAAAGCACACATGCTTTACACTAAGGGTCTCTGCAAAATTCAAATCATCTGAACTTACATGTAATACATGCATGTGATTAAATGAAAGAAACACAGATTTCTTTAAAAAATATAAATTTAAATAACATGTATTTTTTAGGTGTTCTTGGTGTACAAAGGTGATACTATCCAACACTGAAGTCACTGGTAAGGAGAAATAAGATGCTTTTTATGTGGAGTAGGGCTAGAAAATACATAAGCTGGGCCTGAAAAAATATCTCATCCTCATGATCAGTTTGCACTAAAGTTTCAAGTAATTCCCTCAACACTCCCCAAAGTAGTTCTCCTTTGGGCCTCTACTTATGGTAACCTCCCACAAGTCTTTCCTGATTGAGTCTAGTAAAATTTTATTGAAAAAGAGAGATCTGCACTCCCTTATCTTTTCCATAGCCTCTCCTGCTTTCTGGCTCTCAATCCCTAACTTGTTCCACAGCATCCCTGGAATTATTTTCTTCTGATTCTTATACATAATTTTGTCAAGTTTTCTAAACTCTGAATTTCTCTAATCCTTTCAAGGTTACATTCTTTTCCTCCAACTGGGAAACCAGCCTGAATGGGCTAGCCCAGTGTACACTGCACCAAAAATGTATTCAGGCTTGTGCCTTTAATATAAACAACAGTATTTTAAAGACTCAATGTGTTCTATATAATTAGCCTGACCCTCAAACAGACTCCTAGGGGAAGGAGTAAAAGTACTGCATACAGGGTTGGTTATAGGAATACTTTAATACATTTCAACTAAAGTATATAAAATATATGTATTTTAAAGGTTTAATAAGATTCAAGCGAATACAATACACTTATAAAACTGACCTTAAGGAGCGGAAACATCAGTGAAAGGGTAAAAAGACATGGGTTCCAGTCCTGATTCTGATACTCTATAAATCACTTCTTTAAGCCCTGATTTTTCTCCCTACAATATAATTTGGAAAAATAATTCCTGCCCTGTAAAGATCAGACAGACAGACAGCTAGGGAGGTAGGCAGGCAGGCAGATAGATAAAGAGAAAAAAACACCAATGTATATTGAAAATGCTTTGTAAAACTGCAACACAGAGCATAAATGCTTCATTAGAGGCCTTTACATCACAGAGATAATTCTCTAGGACAGGAGAATCTGATCCTACTCCTCCAATGAGATGTTTTATTCTGCAAAGCAAAAAGGTCTTGTATCCTATTCAAAAGAGACGGGGGACAGAGCTGGGGGAAGGGAGGAGAAGGTTGCGGAGGGGAAGGAAAGGGACAGAGGAGAAGAGAAGGGATGTTCCCTTTGGAATGGCAGCCAGTGAAAAGCATACTGTTCCTAGACTCCAGACAATCTTGAACATATAAAGAGCAAGACTAAAGGAAAGCAGAAGAACCTGTATCCACTTAATACACAGGAGTGTTCAAAGTGTGCTCCTGAAAACCTAAGCTGTCAACAGGGAAACAGTCTTCAAATGAGCTCTGCTGCCAGAGGAAGATGGACCTGCTAAAATTCTGATCCAAAGTTAAGAGAAAAAGGAGAGTGTGCAGGTGAGAAAAGTTAATTTTCTCTGAGCGCTTACTGATCCACCATCTGAAAATCATATGGCTAAATGCAATGTGGTATCCTGGATCAGATTTTGGAACAGAAAAAGGACATCAGTGGAAAAACAGATAAAATCCAAGTAGAGCTTGAAGTTTACTTAGTGTACTAATGCTAATCTCTTAGTTTTGACAAATGTAACATAGTTATGTAAGATGCTAACATTAGGGACAACTGGGTAAAGAATACAAGGGCCTCTCTTCCATTACCTCTGTGACTTTTCTGCAAATTTAAATTATTCCAAAATAAAAAGTTTATATTATAAAATGAATGCATGCTTATACTTTAAAAAATTAAACACGAATAAGAATAAAATTATCTCTTATTTTTTTCACTCAAAAAAGTTTACAAATTTGACTCTCTTCAGAAATATTTATGAGTTACTAAATATATAAAGGGCCAGATTTTTCCAACTGAAATGCCACCATCTTTTGATGCTACCATCAGTCCGATGACTGACTCCTATAAATGGTTAATTATGAAGAATACAACACATCACAATATAATGTTGCGAAGAACTTAAGCAAGGAATCCCTAATTGTTTCAAAATCATATATACCGAAAACCACTTACAATGAGATTTCTGATAGTTTTATCAACAGGCTCATTCAACCCTTTCACAACCCCATAAATTTGCCCTTTATCTCTGTATATAGGATGTGAACATGAAATTCTCCCTCAATCTGCTTTATAAGTCAGAAAAAATACCCAAAAATGATAAGTATCTTTTATTTAACCTGAATACTGGCAGGAATACAGGCAGAAGGTCGAGGCATCTTCCTGGGTTGGTAAAGCCGGGCTACTTACATATCTAATGTGGTTACTTAGAAAGGAGAAATTTATGAAAACCTAACTTGGGATACTAAACCATGCAAAAGTCTCTTTATTGTGTAGTACTACTTATAAAATGTTAAGAACATGAATTATCATCTTATTTTTTAAAACAACGGTACGTGGAAGTTACAATTACACTATTTTGTAGGTGAGGAAATTTAATGTTAGATTAAGCAAAACTTGTCCAAAGCCAAAAAATGAAAAGTGGAATTTGGAGCCCAACTTCATCTGATTCTACAGCCTGAGCTCTAAACCATGATTATACTGTGCACTTCCCCGTATTTAAAAACGACACATAATAGTGCCATCCATGTGATGTGGCTGGTGAAAATTATGATACATACACCTAGTAACCAGGGGAAACTTCAGGTGATTCCAGAGAATAGCACATGACATTTCAGAACTCTAGAATCAGAAAAGGCTCCTTACATTAAAATTCCAAAAGGAATAGAGACTGTAACTGGACAACAGTGGTCACATTTGTAAAGGTCATTCACAGAGCTCTGCCCAGACACAGCAGGCACCCTAGAAGGACGCGAGAGAATGCCATAGCCGACTTCCCACTTGATTCTCAAATCAGAAACCACCACACTGAAAAGTCAGAGAGCACCTGCCTCCTGGTAAAGTTTTCTTCCTGCATTCTGTGAAGGGGGTCTTTCCTAGTACCAGAACCATTCACAGTTGATTGATTCATTCATTTGCTGAACTAGTATTTACATGCACCAAGAATATGCTGGGCACCAGTTAAGTGATACAGCAGTAAAATGGACAGATAATGTTTCTGCCCTCACAGAGCATATATTCTAAAGGAGGGAAACAAAGTCATACCTAATTTCAGATGGTACATTATGGGTAGAAAAAAATATGAGAAGAGAGACGAGTGGGACGTGGTAGTTTCACATAACAGTACACAGAGAAGGTCCTTCTTGGGATACCGATGACTCTTACGCAGAAATCTAATTAGTAAGATAAACCATGAAAAGATTTAGAGAAAAGGTGTTCCAGGAAGCAGAAATGGGATGTGCGAAGGCACTGGGTGAGAAAAGCTTGTCTTGAGCAGGAAACTAAGATATTAGAAATGAGGGGTCTAATATGCATAACTCCTACAGTATGCAGTAACTTACTCTCAACAGGCATTTGAGGTCTGCGTTACTTCTCTCTTACTTACTATGCACAGCTAGTAAGAAGAGGCAGAGTTCAAACACAGGTCAGCCTGATACCAATAGTCTGTGCTTTTTCTACTACATCCAATTTAATGCCAGAGTCATAACAAAAATATTAATAATTATACATAAAAAATAAGTAAATCAAACTCCCACATCATGAAAAATCCAGAGCTCTTCATTTCATTTTAGGTTTTCTTCCCCTTGAAGTGATCTCCTTTTCCAACTGCAGCAGAGAGATCTCAAATTGCCAGCTACTTGCATGTCCTCAGTCTCCTTCCTAAGGATCTACGAGGTAACGCTCACACAATATCCTCACATCAGATCTGAGGGCAACATGCACTTGCACCAGACGTCTCAATGGGGTGCAGCAGTGAGATGGGAATGTGCTTCCTTTGATGGGCAGGGCCATCTGAACAATCTCTTCCAAAGTAAAGGCAACAGCACTTGCCCTGTGAAATTTGTTCTGCATGTTCACCCTGAAAATGTGGGCAGTCTTGAATCTCATTTGCTATTCCCTGCTGGTAAGTACTGGTGCTGACATTTTGTGCCCAACTTTGTTGAGGGCAGGTGACAGGTGGCAGATTCAAAACTTGGGGAAGGGTAGTTATTCCATAGCAAGTATATCAGTGTATATTCTTTCTATATCTTTATAATATGGACTTGAAAAATATATAGCATGGTAAAATAAACAAGTTCGAAATCCTAAAAAAGGCCTATATCCTCATAAAAATTCTGTAAATATGTAGAAAGTTCTTTTTTCAATTGAAGTATTTCAAACTCTCCTGAAAACAAGTCTTTCCTATTTAGCTTCTTTATATCTCTGAAATTAACAGTATTTAGAGTAATAAATGATATTTCATATAACTCATTTTCTGAGGGGAGAAGGTAAAGTCTGAGTAAATTTTTAAAGAAAAAATGGTTTTTCCCCCCTAGGGGGAGCATGAGGAAGCAGAAAGAAATTAGAAACTTGGCCCAATGGATAAAAAAACACAGACAGACACCCCTCCCAAAAAAAAAAAAAAACCTGAAAGGTTTTCCAATGTCTGATGTGTCAAGTTCTCTATGGGTATAGAAAGAAAAAAAAAATCTTACCCTTAAATCTTAGGTGATATAAAATTTTATCTAATTATCCAATTATCTCTTAAGAAATCCTTAAAGACAGGGACCTCCCTGGTGGCACCAGGGGTTAAGATGCAGCACTATGAGGTTATCGCGGCCACTGAGTTTGATCGCTGGCCAGGGAGCTGACCCACATGGCGCAGCAGACCTCTCCTGTCTCGCCCACTGCTCCCCTCAGCAGTGTATTTCAGTACATCTGCCTGTTCTGCTCCCCACTCTCTCTGGTGAATCCTCTGGTGAGTCCATCTCTGGCCTGCACCCCAGTTCTTGCATAATAAATAAATAATGCATAAATAAATAAATCGTTTTTAAAAAAGGAAATATTTAAAAATAAATTTTGGTAAAGGCCACAGCAAACCTTTTTTTTTTTCCTACAAAAGAGTGGACGTCCATAGAGTTAAGCTTCATTCAGTATATCAGATGAGACAGATAAAATTGTTAGCAAGATTAACATTCTCAAGGTTAAATATGTAAAGAAAAAGCCAGCCTATCATAATATGGATTTCCCGGTCCCTGGGCCCAGGTTTAGTAAAGACATCACAAAGTAAATTGGTCCGTGACAGTAAACACCTGATGTTAGAAGAGCTGCAATTGTGTATTTCCTGAAGTTTGTGTGGTTGAATTTGCAAGTGGAACATTTCATTACTGCAGGTTTTACACAAAATTTTCGAAACAAAACTGCATTAAGTTAAAACAGAACTGAAATCAATGCCTTTTCTGACCACTTGAGAAATGATTTCCATGAATTTTCCTATCACAGAATTGCCCTTTTCATTTTGATGTGTGGCTCCTTCAACATACACAGGTAGAAGATCATTCCAGCTCTGAAGCTAAAACAGAAGTAGAATAGAAAGTGAACAATTACCCAGTTACCACATACCACATTTTAGCCTAATTCTGAGTGATGCAGAGGGTGGCACGCCTATCAGCAGAATGCTTATTTTTGAAATGTCCTGGACACAGGTTTGTAGTTTCCCTCCTCCTGTTTTTTCCAATCATCCCAGTGTTAACCCTCCCTATTGCAGTCTCAGCCTATTGTGTTCAGGAAAACCCAGTAGACTCGCCTGGCACACTGTGACACACACACGAGACCCTCTTTCTCCGGCTGGGCTTTCCTGCCTCCCCAGGCATGGAGACTACAGAACTACAACAACAGCTGGAGATCATTAAACTGACAGAAATAGCTTAGGAGACTCCGTTGGTGAGTGAGTGGGGGGAGGAAAGGCTCAGTATCAGATTAAAAAAAAAATCTAAAGGGCAACAGGAAGAGGTGGGGAGAGGTAAGGTGAGGCCTAAGGAACTATCACACCCGAATTTCCTTTACAGTCAAGGGAATGCACAGAAGCAGGAGGGACAAGTGGCTGCAGCCTAGCTTACCCAGCCCCCACCTATCCTCAATGGAAGGTTTGGCCAAGACTAAAAATGTGGGTGTCAATGAAGACAAGTTGTGGGGTCAAAGAAGGAAGTCAGTCTAAAGACTAACCCTGGGTCATCCCCAATCTACAGGGAGTAAATTCGAGCACATTAGTGAGTTCTGGGGTTGTGCTAGAGTAAAAATCAGCTCCAAGATTAGGTAGGGGCAAGGGATGAGAGAGCACAAGCAACCCCCAAGTGCACTGAGAGACCAAACCAGCCCTGAGGCATCCCCTATAGAGAGGATCAAATGCTGGATGAAACTTAGGCTGGTCAGGCTGGTAGGCCAGGGCACAGCCACACCCCCAGAGCTAGCTTGGTGACCTTGCAGGCCTCCAAAGGTCGGTACAGGAATGTGCCATCTGCTTGGCCCACTGCCAAGTGTGTTCAGCATATTATCTGAATGCCCTAGAGGCTTTATTCAGATCACCCCATGTAAGTGGGTTTGCATACCTTGATCTATTCCTTAAAGTCTGGTTAGTTTCAAAATTCTGGGATACCCTTTCCATTCCCACACTTGCTAAGTTGTCATTTGTTATCATCAAGACCTCTCCTACCAGGTCACTCTTTGTAATTAATTTTACAGGACTGCAGTTTCAGACAGTTCCCCACCTTCAAGCCTGAACAGGAAATGATTCGATTGCAGATATTATGACTGCAACTCTCTTTGGCAAGAAAGTTTGGTAACTGTGAGATTGCATGAACTTCAGCAGAACATTTTATTTGATACAGCAAAACATTTTATTTGATGCACCTAATGATTTACTATAGAAGGCTCTAGGCTGACAGTTATTCTCAAAAAGCAACCACCATACTACCCTCTTCTAGGATGGCTTACTTTTTTTTTTTTTTTATAGAGGCATGTTTTATTTATTTATTTGTTTGTTTGTTTTGTTTATACATGCACTGGGTACAGTCAGAAGCACGGGAGGGTGAGAGAATTCACCAGAGCCAGAGTGGGGAGCAGAGCAGGCAGAAGGACCGAAGTACACTGCTGAGGGGAGCAGCGGGCCGCAGGAGAGGTCTGCGCGCTATGTGGGACCCTCCTCTGGTGGCCGGGGAGCAGCCGGGGATCGAACCGGCGCCGCAGAGGCCGCGGGCAGCTTCGCAAGCCAGCGCTCAACCGCTGCGCCACCGGGGAGGCCCCAGGATGGCTTACTTTTTTTCTAACACACAAACCTGAAGGAAAATATGCTCATGTTTATTTCCAAACTGGCTAAGTAACTGTATTTGAACCTGATTGTCTATAGCGAGTCCAGAAACATCACAATAATTGGCTCATTCTGAAGAGTATCGGTTAGCATTAGGAAGAAGATATATAAGTCCATGAGAGGAAACGAAAACACGTTCAAACTGTACAGTCTACACACACATCATACATACAGTTCATTATAAGGCTGTATAAAATCAAAAGACAGGATATATATTAACTAAGTTATTGTGGCTTATGTAATCACTTCTAAATGGATGCAGCTTAGGTGGCAGTAATTATATCAATATATCACTCATTATCTTAAGAGTCCATTTTTTAACTGAAATGGGAAAAACTGATGTCATAAATACTTATAATCAACTACTACGTGTGCCCTGATACTAGGTATAACGCAGGAATTGAGAATGAAAATAACCTTACATGTTTATGTAATACTTTACAAAGCCACTTTCGTACATGATTTGATTTGATCGTAAGAGTTAGTATGGCAGACATAGTACCCACTGCACAACAAAGAGAAACTGATTTGTCAAGTTCAGAGCAATTTAGCCAAGCTCATCAGTGCAAGATCCAACCAAGAATTTCAGATCCTTTACTATAAGCTCAGTGCTGGAGCACAGCTGCTACCACAAAAGGCATCTGCCCTCAAGGAATCAATCTCTGACACCCAATGCCTCGGCCAGTTATTTCTCAGATGCACCAAGATTCTTCCCAGTAAGAACCGACCAAACTCCTGGTCAAACATCATAATATGAATCCTAATTCAAGAAAATTATGGGAAAAGATTATTAGTACCACTGACAATTAAAAGATGTGAGTAGGGCCTCCCTGGTGGCACAAGGGGTTAAGCACTGCACTATGAAGCAATTTGCAGCCTCTACAATGAGTTCGATCCCCGGCCGGCCAGGGAGCAACCCACACGGCACAGCAGACCTCTCCTGACTCGCCCACTGCTCCCCTCAGCAGTGTATTTCAGTCAATCTGCCTGTTCTGTTCCCTACTCTATCTCTGGTGAATCCTCTCACTCCTCGCCCCCGCACCTCTGCCCTACACCCCAGTTCTTGTATGCACAAATAAATCTTTTAAAAAATTAAAAAAAAAGATGTGAGTAGCTTCTAAAGACTACAGTTATTAATATGAGATTACATTAGGACAGAGTGCTCAAAATACAGATGTCCCTTTTGGATACACATTTTGCTTATGGGTATGATACTGCCCTCTAGTGCCAGGAGGCACAGTGACTTCAGGGGACTTGCCAGCTGATGCACATTAACCACCTAAGTATAAACACATTTTGCTAAACAACAGAGGGGTAAAAAGAGAAAAGCTTAAGCCTGTTACACACATACAACCATAAAGACTATGTAAGCCCCTCAAGGAATTTATATAGTGGAGAAAATATGAAACGTAAAACAAATCACTGTAATCAAGACAGTACTGTAAATGCTGAAAGAGTTTACAGATAATAAATTACTAGACTGGAAACTGGGTTGGTAAGTTTCACAGAAACATCAACATAAAAGCCATTGCTGAAGATCTTTAGAAATAAGAGATGAACAGCATAAGTCAATACCTAGAGACAGGAAATACTAGACAGTTAAAAAATTGCTTAGTTAAGAAAATAACTAATATGCTCCAATTTAACTGGAGCATTAAGGGTATGAAAGGGAGTAAAAGGCTGGCTAGGGTCAGACCATGAAGGGTCTAGAAGTGTGCTATCCAATATGGTAGCCACTAGCCACATATTCTATTTAAAATTTCTCACTCCAGCCACAT